ATAAACATAAGTAAGCTATATCGATTGCAAAGTTTCAGGGGCTCTAACCGTCTGTTGTGAGATTGGAACTTGGGACTCTCCAACTTCAAAACGACTAGACAATATGAGATGAGAACTATCAGTTCTTCGGATTTAAAAGCGTGACGAAGCTCTTTAGAAAGATGCAGATAACTAAATGATCTAAAAATCATAGTTAATGGCATGTACCTGACTGCCTGATTAACACACCCAACGGTGGATTTTGGCCTATCACTCAGAGCTACAAGGTAGCGATCTTAAAAAAAGCCCTTCAGAAAAGAGGCAATCGATTAAAAACCCGCGAGAGAACGAACAGGCGATTAGCACGACCACTGCTGACTCCTTTCCCGTCGATAAAAACTACTGCCCAACACGCGGTTGCCTAAGTACGTAGAAAATTCTCTTTATACAACAAGCGTAAGAGGCTTTTTGTCCTATGATCAGCACCTTGAGAATTATTGCACAAAAGTGAGGTCTATAGAGGCTTCGAAAATAGGCACAGTAGTCCATGCGGAGGCCAAGTGAAAATAGAAGGTACACTTACATGTTCCAGGTCATTACGATGCAGATACATCTGTCCGAGACCGTAAAAGGGCAAGAGGAAAGTTGGCGAAGCAAACTGGGTTGCCAGATAGTAATACTGGAAGGCTTTGTCGTAGTCACCCTCCATGTGGAAAGCACGGGCCATCTGGTAGCTACTTTCTGCACGAATAGCCTCATTTTCAGTTTCATAGAAGGCATGTGAGGCCAGACAATGCACCTTGGCATACTCCTTCTTGTAGAAAAAGTGATCAGCCAGATGATTCAGAACCATAGAATTGGTAGGATCCAGATTGTAGGCCCGCGACAGCCTCTGCACACCCTGTTTGATGGACTCCTACAAGGAACCAGAAGGTAAATACGTCAAGTAGAACCTCAAAAGGAGCTAAGATAAAACGAAGGACGACAGTGCTGATACTGAAAAAAACAAGACCGGGACAAACCATGCACGCCAGAATGACTGTACCTGCGTTTTCTCGTTGAGATCAAGGATAGCCAGTCCAACTAGGGCTTTGACACTGTCTGGGTCCAGGTCAAGGGCCCTTTGGAAAGCCATTCGGGCCTTCTCCAGGTTTCCAAGACGGGCAAAACAATGACCGATGCCCAGACGCACGGACGCCGGACAGTTGGGCTGCAGGCGAAGGGCCTTTCGGTAGAAACCAAGGGCGTTGCGATACTCCTGTTTATTGAAGGCGATGCAGGCCTTGCCCAAATAGGCCGGCACACTGGGTGATCCCTGGTTAAGTACAAAGTTAAGCTGGCTGTCTGCCTGGCTCCAGTTTTCACCCTCATATATGAAGTAGAAGGCCCGACCGAGAAGATGCTTTTGGTCATACATAGCGATCCTATCTGCCGACGTAAAAAGGGCAGTTGCACGTTCAATGAGCTGGTTCCGCTTCTCCTTGTTCTTCTCTCTACGGTCGCAAAATGAAAAAAAAGGTGGAGTCGATTTAGAATTTTAAAAAAGCTGGCAGGTGACAAGGGTGAATGAACAACTTTGAGCAGAAAATAGCTTACTTGGAGGCCTTGCGACCGCAGTAGTTGGCAAGCATATCAAAAAGCTGAACCAGGTCATTCTCATTATTGGTCTGCAGGTTGGCCACATTTTTACGAGCGTCTTCCAACACCTTCTCAAAATCGTCAAAAAGCTTCTTCTTGTAATAAGCGAGAGCAACGTTGATCCATACGGGCAAGGGTGCTGTTTCTTGGGTAAGGATATTGATCACCTCATCGCCCTCTGGCAGCTGGTTAATGTCCAACTCAATCACCTCATCCCCTCCGCGTAAGGGGATCTCGATGGCATTTGCGCTGGGATAGTCAGAGACGTCTGAGCGACCGGAATCGTACAGGCTTGAAGCCACAGATGTCTCTGCCTGTGTACAGAAAAGAGAAGGCGAATCAGTTGGCAAAAGTTAAATATTCGGTAAAATAGGTTTATTAGAAGAGGACAATGGTTTAACCGGAGGAACGATCTGATGAGACTCGAACATAAGTTTAAGTCAAAACGTCAAAAGAATGCAAACGAATAAAGAAGATGACTAAAAGCAAACATATCATCTCCAATAATCTTAGAAAACGTGTTACTAGCATGTGGAGCATAACTTGAGTGCGCAAAACTTCTGTGGTCATAAAAATCATCCTAGGAGAATGTGGTTCGCATATAATATTAAGGAGTAAACCACTTACAACTGAGAAAACTGTGTTTGAATAACAGAATGGCACCGCACGCACACTCCCTCTTTTCCTCAAGAAAACGCACCCAGTAAGCACTTGCAAATTAAATCGGTCTTTATACTCCTCTTTAAAACCCCAAAAACAAAAGTGAGTGCCAAGAAATCACATAAAGAATGAGTCTTCGCAATCTGACTCTCAGTCCGGACTGCGATTAACTTATACCTGAAGTTAGCAGTTTCAAAACCACAAACGCTAGCGTGTTGGGATGGTCTCAAAGTCGCTGTCAAAAGTGCGCCACACATAAGATCTTGACTTCAAAGTGTACCACGTACAATTCTGTGGACCTCGTGAGGCACGTAACAAATAACCACATCAAACTCTATCGGAGGAAGTTTATTGAAGCATTGTGTTCAATTTAAAGATACACGGATATTAGAAAGTAATACGGTGCAGACTAACAATTGGCAGTTATAGTTTAACGCCCAAAAAAGAGCGAGATAACAACACTTAAGCACTCCCTGTCGTAAAAAAAGCGTAGTAAGCAACGAAACGAATTGCTGTAGTTTTATGTAGGCATCACTCATCGTCTAGCAGCTACCATGCGTAGCAGAATCATGCAGATTTATGACCAAGAGGACATAGGTGACTAGTCGGATGGAGTTTATCAACCTCTTGTCGGGACTGCCTCCGCCATTATACAGGTTAGACCGGCGACGACTCAGATCGCAAATACTGGAACACAAACCGACCGCTGCCTCAAGCCGCTACCCTCAACCCAGAGGAAGACCACGAAGTCAACTTGAGGAGCACACAGTGTTTTGGTAGAGTCAGTAATAAGACATGGATGCTTGGGTGTCTAGTAATAACTC